CACATGTTGTAAAAACTGAGATTTAAATATACCAGTACTTCTGTGATTTTTGTTTTAAGAGACCTTTTCAGAGAGCTGCTAAACTCCCATTCTGCCTCCAGCGATGTTATCCTTATCTGCAATTTCCAGAGCGTCTACCTTTGACAAATCGTTCTAGCCTCCACACTCTTGTTAAGATTTTTATATTGGCCAAATGAAACAGCCTCATTGGCTTCTTCTCCAGAAAAGTTAGGCGTGTGCTTTATCTGCACTCCATGAAGCTGTGGAAGTCTTCACTCAGATCTGATAAATGTGGGCTCCATAGAGGAAATTCTCCTCTTGCAGACTTAAGGTCCACAGAGCACAGTAAGGCTGGCTTTTGAGTACATAGACCAGAGACTGGGCTGCGCGATTCCAGCTTGGTAGTTTCTTAAAGTGTATATCCTGGAGAAGCTGTGCATCACTTCACTTGAAATTAACGAAAGAGGGATGGTCTTTTTTCTCTTTCTGATTTCCAAGAGCAAACAAAAACAGCAGGCAAGGCTTCATTTTGTACATGTCAGAAATGCTAAATTTTGAATTAGCGAGCTACTGAATATTTTTAATGGAAAAGGTATGGAAAACAGTGACAGGCTAAGTGGAGTTTTTTTGCTTTTGTTTCTATCCTTTTTGTATTTTTTTTTTTAAATGAGTCAAAATACCTTAACAATTCAACTGAAAGCAATACATTTCAGCAAGTGAATACCCTCTGCCAGTCTTCCCAAGCCTGCTGTCCGCCAAGTATGTTAGACTACAAATTATATAATCCTGGTTGGGACAGGAATTATGAGAATTGTAATCCAGCAAATCTGGAAGGCAGCAGGTTGGGCAAGGCTACATTGTCTGAAATAGCAAACGCTGTCATTGGTGTTTGCCACAGTCCTGAAACAGGAAAACATCAACCGCAGACTGACTTCATAACTGTCCTATTTGTCAGGAGCTTCTGGTTTGACTCTGCTGCGGGCAGCATGCTGGCAGGCTTGAATGGCTGTTGGTGGCTGGCTTTGGAGCTGCACTGGCTGACTAGTTGGGGTTGGTGAAGAACTAAGACAACTTAAACATATTGCTTGTTAACCCAGGGTGCAAAGATACGGAAGGCTATAGCGTTTCAGACTAAAACTATCCAATCTACTGACTAAAAGAAGGCGTTTTAGCTCATGTTTGGAAAGTTAAAGCAGTGTACTGACTTCAAGCGCACACCTAAATCAATACTGGGCACCTGCAGCCTTCTTTGTTGAGAATAAATTCAGCAATTTGTTTGCATTATACCTATCCAATTGCCTATTCTTAAACTTTTGGAATTACATCGTCATGGTTTTGTTTTGTGGAGAAACCATAAGATTTTTTTTTTCACCCACACCTAAATAGTAAAGTTTCCCTTTTTAGAAAATGTGCTTATTTCTTATTTCTGCACTTCCTTTTGATAATGATGATGGTGCTAGTGGTAATGATGGAGCTTTTTCCGGAGCAAATACCAATCATACTTAGAAGCCCTCTTTCCCAGCGGGCACTTGCTCGTTGCCTCTCTACTGTTTAAAGCTTAGGAATCCTTTGTCCTGAATGCACTGATTCTAAAGAATCTTCTTAAAGAATCTGCTGCTGCATTTTTAGAATTTCTGCCATTGTCACAATTTTAGGATGTACATCAGTGCAAAGAGACAGGCTGCCCCAATAAAATAAGCTTTGAGTGAGAAGGGTAGTATCTCCATCCGTGCAAAATTCATTTTTTTACATTCAGTAAATGAAAGAAAAATTGTTTCTCCTAGTAAGGAAAAGGTGGAGGATTAAATCAGGTGGCACCTAGCCTCCAAGACTGGATCCATGCAGGGTTGGGGCTGGATATGGATTTGTAGATTATGCCCATAGATACTATGGAACTGGGAATGTCTTGTACTTATTTAAATATAGGGTTATCTGATTCAGTAGAGTAAAACCTGCTTAGGGAATTCTGTCACCTAGATCCTGCATCACAATAAATGTAAGATTGCGATTCTATTAAATCAGGATATAATATGTTTGGAGATGCTAGAAAGTCAGGTTGGTTGAAGAAATGGCAATGAAGTTATGATAAACCTTTTCCAGAGCTGATGTTTACTAAAAGTAGTTGGAGATAGCAGGCAGTCTATTCTTCATCTGTGTGCTTCAGAAAGAATATAAAAATATATTATTTCAGCATAACCTGAGTCCTCTAAGGATTAGTGTCCCCTTATATCGTTCTTTTGGGACTATATCCACTAAATTAAAAGAGGAAAGGAATGGGTTTTCTTTGGAATTGTAACATCATATGAAGGACTTTCTTTACACCTTAGCCTTCTAAACCTGAAGGGAGATTTGGACAGGAGACAAAAATGGGCAGTAGAAGATAATCTTTTATATGTACCCTGCAGATTTTAAGATACATGCAAACTCTGCTCTGCTCCATAGTACATTCTATTGAGTTTTTCTACTTGCAGTTCTGTCTGTCTATTCAGCATGATTTACTGAAGGATAGTTTCTGAAAAAAAATCTGATCTAATCTGAAGACTATAAATAATAACAGATCAACTACTGCAATTTGGAATATTTTCCATAAATAACTTCTGTGGAAATATTTCTTAATGTTCTGCAGAATACTAGTATTTCATGAACAACTTTCATGGAATAGAAATACAGGTAGTCCTTGACTTATGAACATAATTGGGACTGGAATTTCCATCGCTAAGCAATGTGGTTGTAAAGTGAGATATCACATGACCACATCACTTAACAACAGCAATCCTGGCACTCCCTGTTGCCTTCATTAAGCAAATTATACCAATCATTAGCTGAGGACCCACCCCAATCCAAGCCATTTTGGGTTTGGTTCCTCCCAGCCCCAAGCCTCAGTAAGGTAAGGGACTGCCTCCAACTCCCCGCCATCCACCTACCTCCCCCATCTCTGCCCTTTTGGCTGCCCTGCACCCTGCCTTGCAGGACAGCAAGCAGCCCTAGAAATGTGCAGCTCTGGGGCTGCTTGCTACGCTGCGGCTCAGGGGCTTCTTGGTGCGCCACAGCTCTGGGGTTGCAAGAAGCCCTTGAGCCTCAGAAAAGCTGCAGCTGCTCTTGGAAGCCTCAGCCACCCCAGCAAGCTCCAGCAAGCATTTGTTCACCGAGCTGCCTTCCCTCCCAGTACCTCACACTGACTTTTCACCTTTTGCACCTAGCCACAGCACCTGGGAAGCGCCAGCAAGCATTCGTTCAACCAGCTGCCTTCTCTCCCAGTTCCCTGCATATCTCTGTTTTTGAATTATGAGTATTTAATAAGAATTCAGCTGTCAATGCAGATAGATGGATAGTGTTTAGGGGTTCACAGTGGGATTAAATATACAGGCCCAGCTCTGACTTTCACACATTTAGTAGGTGTTCTGAATAAAGCCTATAGTCTGCAATTTATATAGCAACTCTCCTTATATGTGACTGATTAGTCTTCTGAAAGATGCACAGTGAATATGTACTAGAAGGAATGCAGTCAAAGGTCCTGAGTACATGAGTGTTAAGAGCACATCACTGTTCTCTGCACTTTTGTCCTTATTGTAGAAAACAATTACCCAGACCCAGGATTTTTACCTATGGATGCAGATGTTCCCATTAGGGGCTAACGGTTTTTGTACTCGGTAATATCTTCAATGATGGATTCAGAAATGTTGGATTGCTTCTTTTCACCCAGCTAGGAAATGCTGCAGCTCCTCCTTTTGCACTGGTGTACAGTAACATTTTACTAATGTTTTTGCTTGGTTTTCAGTATCCATTAGCAATTCATTAAAAGAAGCCAAAAATTAAAAATGCCTACAGTTCACATGTATGCAATGATTTGAAATCCATTAGTGGGCATTCCACGCTGCCTGCATGTAAAAAGAAAATACTGTTGACAGGATGCTAAAGATAGCTGTATGTAGCTTCTCTTTATTAAAAAAAAAAAAAACAATAATAAAAGCCTTGAAAAATTCTCTTTGATGTGAATGGAGTCCTCTGCATTTTGAAATACAATAAGATGGATTAATTGCTCCTCATTAGGCAGCAAGTTGGGACAGCTTTGAATGTGCTTTCTTTTTTTCAGCATTGGCTATTGCTGGCTGAAATAGCCAGCTTTTGTGTCTTCCACTGTCTCCTCTGATAATAAGCAAATTGGAGATCATGGCTACAATTATTCAACTGTCTTTTGTCCAGAACAATTGTGTACTTCCATGGCTTGTTTATCTTCTTCTTCTTCTTCTTCTTTAGTTGTAGCAAATAATTTCAAAGGTTATTCCAATCAATACAATGTATGAGCAGGAATAAGATTTGTGAAATTACTTATTAGGCAACTATGTTCATATTTTCTGCTTCACTATAAATCCATTTTTTAAAAATTGCAGGGTTGTTTTTTTTTTTTTTACTTCATATCATTTTTTAAATTCATGTGTGGTTAAATCTCTGTGTCACTTTAATGAACATATATACTAAGAATTTAGCTATATATTATATATTACACACACACCCCAGTGTATGCTTTGAAATCTTAAATTAAATATCCTTTTATCTTCCTGGAATCCAAAATTATTTTTCTAAAGGCAGATTGGACTGATTGAATTCTTTGAGGGAGAACAACAGTTTTACAGTAAAAAACTTGAATTCCTTGTTATATAAATTTCAGTAAATATTGCCATGGTTTTAAAAAATGGAATGACTTCTGTTGATCATATTTTGCTTTTCTGGTATTCTTTTCAAAAGCAATGGAAACCTAGGAATCTGATTCATTAAAAATTATTTGATTATATTATACACTGATACATTTCATAAAGCAGCCTATTCCAGCTTAGTTCTCTCCTGTTATATTGAACTATAACTCTCATCATCCCACATAGCATGTCCAATTATCAGGCTGGGGATTATGGTGTTTGCAGTGACTAGACTGATCAAGGCTGGCATAGAGCTTAGTGCTCTTCAATAGTTTACAGCTTGAAAACCACTAGAAATGAAAACACGACAATCAGCCTAAGTAACAACTACATCCATGGAATTCTATGTAATGCAAAAGGAGTCCAGCAAGGGGTGATCATCGGCATGCTATACTCTCTACAAATATATATGGCATTAAAGACCACTAGTAATGGAGGATAGGACTGTTGGCAGCTGTTAAGCATGACAGTTGGCACTAATGTGTTACAGAAGAACCAGGTTCCCAATAATAAGATGCTTATGATATGCCATTGCCTTCAAACCTCACTTGTAGGTTTCTCAGAATTTTTTGACTCCTGCCCCCAAACACCTTTATAAGCATTAAACTCCTTTGCTAATCAAATATCCTATTTCTAATTCCACCTTCTTCCAAACATCTCACTTTTTATCCTCCATTTTCTTTTATTACAATGTATAATGAAAGATTAGGATTACTAGCTTTCATCATCAGTTATGTATAGAATGGTTAAAATTCATACAATATTTATTGGTGAATAGTGCAATTTATAATAAAAGGCCAAAAAAAAAAAATCCCACATGTATCAGTGGTTCCCAGTTTCATAGGAGGATCTATACATGTGTTAATATAAGTACATAGAAAAACACATGTCTCAATTTCAGTCCACTACAACAACAGGGCAGCTCTGATCCTTTTTAGGTGGGGGGGTTTCACATTATGTGTGAATCTGAACACAAGTAAAGAACTGTAGATAAGTTGCAATAGGCAGGCAATGTCATGATGGAGCTTCACATTTTTCCTTGTAGACCTCTCTCTCAGCTAGGCATCTTTCCCATCTCCTGTAAATCCTTTCAAAAATCTTCCCAAGGCAGAGGCATTTGAATGAATTCATAACCGATCAACAGATTTTTCTTTTTCTTTTTTTTGACTCATGGGTTAGTAAGGTCAGACTTCATACATTTGATCCAATCCCTTTTTTTCTCTGAAAAGTGGGATAGAATTGACAGAGACCAGAATAATGTAGGAAAATATTGTATGATACTGCATTTGATTTCACTGGGGGTACATTTTCTTTGGGAAATAGAGTATAGAATATTTGTCCCTGTTTGCTATTATAGGAAGCATGGTGATCACTTTGGTCAAAGCAACTGTTTTAATGGAGCTTAGACATTTATGGACTAAAAAAACAAAACAAAACAAAATTTAAAAAAGAAAAAAAAAGTTCATGAGGTATCCAAGGAAATGCTACTTTGCTCCAAGGTTTTAAGGAAAATGTCAAATTAATAATTTAATGATTTAATAATGTAATAGTTTAATAATTCATAAGTCAAATTTCTATTCAGATTTGCACTAGCAACTTCATCATTTCACCTTATTCTAATTAAGCTGTTTCATGTTAACTGCAGTGTAACTGACAGTGAAAATAGATGCACATTTTCTTAGGAAGTCTTGATTACTTGTGTTCATTAAAGATCCCAGTGCACTCAGAGGTGGAGAATACAGTACGGGTGTTAAGTCATGTATCTTGGCCAAATTCCAGTTTAGGTAATTACTGCTAATCTCCTTGCCTAAATTCCCCATCCAGTTTTAATTGGATGTAGTCTTCTTCACTAGTTGCTCAAATGTCATATAGCATTTTAATGAGTGATTTAATCAGTTCTTAGGAGTTACCCCAGAAGTAACTGCAGATAAAAACAGGTCAAATCTTCTCTTCCTTAGTTACAAAGCAGGGAGGGCTGCTTAGTCCTGCATATATCCCCATATAAGGTAGGAATCCTTCATCAGGAGAGATGATGGTGGTCATCAGTGGTTCTAGAACAAACAAGGGCATTCTCTGTGAGAGATTCCTTTATGCCAGAAACCAAGCAGCCAAGCCAACTGCCAGAGGCATAGCAACAAATGTTACTTGGTAGTACTATCTTTTCTTAAAGATACAAATTTTACTACTTTGCTCCCATATACCCATAAAGATATAGCAATGCCAGGTTTCCAAAATCTCAATCCAATGTAGTAAATCTGGGAATGAAATGTTGCGAAGCATGCTGCTGTGTTACTTGGTGCACACATAATATTAAGCCATAACATGGTATATTTACTTGTGGCTTAACATGATTTATGAGCCCACCTACTATGGCTTAGAATTATGTACAGATAATAGGATTATAGTTTGGTCAGTACCCCAGACAACTGTGATTTATTTAGTAAGCCAAGGTTAAAAATACAAGCTTAGTGATTCATGTGAACCCAACCATTATACTCTCCAGACATGAAAGGGAATCTGAGTATATGACCTTGCTTCTCCATTTAATAGTTGTTACAAATCCCCTTGACTGATTAGACATGATATAATTATTATGAAAATACTAGAGAGCCAGTTTGGTCTAGTGGTTAAGGCACCAGGCTAGAAACCAGGAGTCTGTGAGTTCTAGTCCCGCCTTAGGTATGAAAGCCGGCTGGGGAATGACTTTGGGCCAGTCACTCTCTCTCAGCCCAACTCACTTCACAGGTTGTGGTGGTGGGGAAAATAGGAGGAAGGAATATTAGGTATGTGTGCTGCCTTGAGTTATATATAAAAAAGGCAGAATAATAAAAATAATAATAAGCCCCATTATTTCTCTGGAGGCTTAGGTGCTGAGATGAATGTCCATGGCTCAACTCTGACACTCAAAATGATGTGTAGATAAGGTTCTAGTTGTGATGGGGTCTATAGTAGGAGTACAGAGAATAAGACGTCATGGTTTAGAAACCAATACTATTTTATTTTTCACTCTGAAAAAGACTCCTAAGCATTTAAAATTATAACGAGAGATCCAAAAACTTAGGCATCAGAATTGGTCCGAAAGTTGGGTCAGCCTTCTGAATAGGTATTTTCTCACCGTGTTGCTTCCCTGCTGGTGCATTTCCCGGTTATTCTGCAGCCATGCTGTTCTCAGCAGCTCCCCTCTGTCTGCAAGAGCAGCTCACAGATGGGCCCACAAGTGTTAGGGCCATTTCTGGAACATTAACGCCTGATCAGATTTCTGTCTCGTATTCTGCGCAGGATGGACGGAAGAACACTACTGCAAGCAGCTGCTCCCCTCCCTCCCCCCCCCGCCCCAATAAACTAGCTTAAAATAGGCAGCATTTCATTTCTGATACAGGAGCTTCCACCACCACCGTCTAAGCCTAATGAAGCCCTCGCTGTTGCCAGAACGAGGTGCTTAACTTTATTAGTGTGGTCAACATGACTATGTTAAATCTTTTTTCTCTTTTGATGAATCAGTTCCTTGGTGAAAATTTAACATTCCTGCAGATACCGAATTATTGTAACACCTTCCATTTTTTAATTTGCTGTAGCCTAGTTTCTAAGAAATTGCACTTATACAGAAACATTTTAACGAACTTTTTGTTGTTACATCCAGGTAACAAGCATGGTAAGTATTTTCAGTAAAACAAATATGTACTTTAGCTATGCTTGGCAGAGATACTTGTATATGTATGTGTATATATATATGTGTGTGTGTGCATAT